ACCGACCCCCTCCCGTCACCATGGGAACCCAGGGACCGACCCCCTCCCGTGGCCCCTGTGCTGCAGGGGGCTCCCTGGCCCTGGCCTGGCAGTGTGGGGTGCTACCCTGGGACGCTCTGTCCCCCCCAGGCGCGTGACCGGCCTGACCCGTGCTCTGCCCCCTCTCTTTCAGAGGTGGGGGGCCTGACGGAGGAGGAGCTGCTGCAGCAGCTGGAGCAGTGCGACCTGGCCCTGACGCGCACCCCGGACATGAGCCCAGCTTGCTCCTTCGCTCACCCCGGCACGCCCCAGGCCTCCAGCACCAGGTACGGGGGGCGGCTGCCCCGGGGGGCAGAGCTGACCCCACGCGTTGGTGCTCACAGCCGGGCACTCGGGCCGGTGCTGGCCGCCCCGGGGCCCACGTGGGGCTGCAGAGGGAGCCGCTTGGTTCTGCGGGAGCTCTGCCCACCTGGCTGGCTAACGCCCGGCCCCTCTCCTCTCCCGACAGCCTCCAGTCCCAGGGGAGCGACGGTGCCCGAGACAGACCCGCCAAGGGGGCTGCCAGCCCCGGGCTCCTGCTGAGCTATGCCCGCGGAAGCCTGTTGCTGCCCAGACCCCGCGAGGGCCCCTTCCCGGCGCTGACGGCCAGCCAGAGCTCCCTGAACCGCGGCGAGGGCCCCGCGCCGGAGCCCTGCCCCCGGCGGCCTGTGGAGGGACTGGATGGCGACCCCCGGGCTCCCCACGAGCTGCGTGGCGGGGGCAGCTTCGTCGAGCGCTGCCAGGAGCTGGCCCGCTCCTCCGGGCTCGAAGGCAGGCGGCCTGGCCCGGCCGGGGAGCCCGACGGGGGGCGCCTTGGAGCAAAGGGCAAGGTCCTGCTCCGTGCCCCCGGCATGCCGGCCCGCAGGCCCCCCGGAGCCAGCCCCACCCCCTCCGTCAGGACCCTGCCCCCCGCCCTGCCGGGGTCCGGCTCCTCCTCCCCCTCGGCGGCCAGCGAGGCCCTGCCCATCGTCCCGCTGGCAGGGCCCAAAGCCCAGCTCAACGAGACCTCGTTTTAGCATCCGCGGAGGGGCCGGGGACTCCAGCCCGGCAGGGACTGACTCACCACAGAGGCCTTACGCCTGCTGCCCGACCCAGGCTCTGCTCAGCCTGTCCAGCCGGCCGGTCCCCTGGACTCAGCCACCCCTGGGACCAGCAGCAAGCCGTGGGGCGGGGGCCCCCTGCAGCCGCGTCCTGCTGGGGCGGGCCTGGGACCTTCCTCAAGGCAGGATCGCGCTGTTCACAGAGCAATGGATTCGCTGGCGTTCCTCCGCCACCTCGCCTGCCCCCTCTGTGCCCTGCGGGTGCCCACGCACCCTGCGCTGGGATCAGCCAGGCATTGCATGGCGCTGGGCCCCTCAGGTGCCGACTCGCGGGCCCGGGGCAGCTGTGCCCAGGAGGGACAAATCCTACCGGCTGGTGGGCGGGGCCTAAGCCTGGTGGCTCCTCCCACCCGTAGCAAGCCAAAGCCTATTGGTGGCCATAAGGGGGCGCTGTGCCGGGGGTGGGGCCTAGGTGCTCGTTTCCATACGGGGCTTCCACGGCAAATACACCCGCATTCCCCACGCTCTGCCTGCGTGTCTGTGTCTGTCTGGGGGGCCGGGCCAGCCTGGGCCCCCCCGCTCGACGTCAGCCCCCTCTCCGGGCAGCTAAGGGCCGGGCTCCAGGCCTGTCCCTCGGCAGCAGGCATGGGGCAGGCCCAGCTCCCTGGCGCGCCTGTGTGGGGCCCGATCCCTGCGAGGGGCCCCACCCCCAGCCGGCGGCTCAGTCCCTGTTCCGGGCCAGACGGGGAGAGGAGCCGGCCCTGTGGGAGCTGTGGCGGAAAGCCAGGGGGGTGAGTGGCTGAGCAGGGGATGGGCCCTGTGCAAACTCCTGTGACTGGGGCTGGCTGCCCCGGAGCAGCATCCGGCCCCTGGGCTGCCGAAGAACATTGCCTGCGCCTGGGAGAGCGGCAGGGGGTGGGGGCCGTGTCCGGGGCGGACCGGGCCCTGGCCCATGGTGCCCTCTGCGGGCAGGGCAGGCAGGAGGTTCCCCCCAGCACCTTCTGGGCGGAGCCAGCCCAGCTGGGCCCCGGGTAAGCCTGACGCTGCAGTCCCGGACGCCCCCAGCACTGCAGGGCGCTGCCCAGGGCAGGGCGAGGCCTGGGGGGGGGGGGCACTGCACGGCTGTGTATGGGGGGTGGTGGGAGCATGGTCTATCCTGGGGTTTGGGGCACTGGCTCGGGCCTGACACCAGCCCGACACGTGCGCCCGGGGCTCCCCAGGGCTGTGCCAGCGGTACGGGACTCAGCCTTGCGCTTGGGCACCGTCGGGCAACAAGGGGCTGGCGGACCCCTGGTGCACAAACATGGACACATGCCCCGTGCATAGACACAGACACACACACGCCCCGTGCACAGAAACAGACACAGACACACGCCCCGTGTGCAGACACAGACACACACGCCCCGTGCGCAGACACAGACAGACACACACGCCCCGTGCGCAGACACAGGGACACGCACGCCCCGTGCGCAGACACAGGGACACGCACGCCCCGTGCGCAGAAACGGACACACACACGCCCCGTGCGCAGAAACGGACACACACACGCCCCGTGCGCAGACACAGACACACACACGCCCCGTGCACAGAAACAGGGACACGCCCTGTGCACAGACACTCTTTACACTTATGTGCCCGATTTAAAGTCCAGTGAAATTGCCCCGCGCTCGGCCCTCATCCCTGCGCCCTCCTCCGTACCCCCCAAACACCCGCTTTGGCCCGGGGGAGCAGCGCCTGTCTCCCAGTGCCCACAGGGCCCCCCACCTGCTCTGTCACGGGGCCTGCAATGGTGCCTCGCCTGGTGCTGCTGGTGGGGCTTGCTGGACACCCCCTGGTGAAGGGGAGGTTGTGGGCACCTGGCAGCAGGGGCTGGGGCTGCCCAGGAAGGGACCCCCCCCCCGCCGCCTCCCTAGGGACCTTCCCTCGTGTTTATGTAACAGCCTGTGAGTCAGCCGGAGCAGAGCCTGCGCAGGGTTATGTAACCGGGGCTAGTGCAAGGCTGGGGCGGCTTCTGGAGAAAGGGGGGCTGGCAGCCAGGACTCCTGGGTTCCGTCCCTATCTCTGCGACAGACTCCCTGCAGGACCTTGGGCAAATCTCTACCCCGCCCCCACTTTGTAAACCAGAAATAATGATACTGACCCCTGCTGGACAGCACTTGGAGTGCTATGATCTCGCCGGGCGCCGCCCAGACCCCGGCCGAGATCGGGGCCCCGTCGCGCCAGACACTGCCCAGACCCCACCCGAGATCGGGGCCCCGTCGGGCCGGGCGCCACCCAGACCCCGGCCGAGATCGGGGCCCCGTCGCGCCAGACACTGCCTAGACCCCAGCCGAGATCGGGTGCCACTGAGATCGGGGCCCCGTCGGGCCAGGCGCTGCCCAGACCCCAGCCGAGATCGGGGCCCCGTCGGGCCGGGCGCCGCCCAGACCCCAAGTACCAGACACCCCCTGCCCCACGGAGCTCCTGGGCTGCATAGCTGCTGGTTGTTCTCCCCGTGGCAGAGAGGGACTGAGGCCCCGAGCAATGCAGGGTTCTGCCCAGGGTCACGTAGCGTCTGTGGGGGAGTGAGCCAGGGGCCCTGTGTTGGGCCCAGCCCACAGGGGCCAAGGGGGTCCGTGGCTTTCCCCTGGCGCTTGGCACAGGGAGGCTCATCTCTCTGCTTTGCCCGCTCCGGCCAGTCTGACTGCAGGAGACGGGGCTCTGGGCTGCGCCCTCCCGCCAGCCTCTGATCCCCCACCCCCCTCTCTGGGAGCCCAGAACATCCGGTGCCCCAGCCCGTGGGGTTGGACAGCAGGATTCCCATCCAAGCGAGGGGGGGGCTGCTATGCCTGGGGAGGGAGGCAGCTGACGCCCGGTGGCAGAGGGGCAGGAATTTGGGCATGGTCACATTTGAGATAGCAGCAGAGCCAGGGAGAGAACCCAGGAGTCATCCGGGCTCCCAGGCCCACTGCTCTAACCACCAGACCCCACTCCCCTCCCAGAGCTGGGGAGAGAACCCAGGAGTCCTGGCTCCCAGCCCCCCTGCTCTAACCACCAGACCCCACTCCCCACCCAGAGCTGTGGAGAGAACCCAGGAGAGAACCTGGCTCCCAGGCCCCCCCCCCAAGCACTAGCCCCCACTCCATTTCCACAAGGCATTGCCTCACTCTGCTCCCTCCCCAGCCCCTCAGGCCCCCTCCCCGCAGAGGCTCAGCCCTCCCAGATACCCCCCCTCTGACGGGAGCCCTGGGCCACCTGCCCGGGGGGGCGCCTGGGTCCTCAGCAGGGAGGACTCTGCTATCTGTGTGCCAGCCCCCCCCCCCCCCCCCCCCCCCCCCCCCCCCCGCCCCGCCCCCCCCCTCCTCCCCCAGGACCCCCTCCCCCCGCGCCATCGCTGGAACCTGGTTGCGATGCAGGATGTTGCTCCCGGAGGCAGTTGCTTAGCAACCAGCTCGGGCAGCTGCAGATGGGGGGGGGGGAGCGGGAGCCCCCGGGCTCGCCTGGAGCATCCCCGGGCCGGGCGGCGGGCGGGGAGACGGGGCCGGAGCCCGCCCCTCCCCGTGGCCTCAGGTACCGGCTGGAGCGCGGGCAGGGACCGACCCCCGGAGCCTCCTTGCACACTCGTCCCCACCTTCCCCATTGCACACCCATCACTTGCACACACGCCCCCATCCTCCCCGTTGCACACTCACCCCTCGCACATTCATCTCCACCCCCATTGCACACTCGTCCCCACCCTCCCCATTGCACACTCGCCCATAGCCCCGTTGCACACCCATCCAGACCCCCCTGCATATCCCCCCAGCGGGCGGCCCCACACTCTCGCGTCCCTCGCACGTTCACCCCCCAGATGCGCGTCCCTTGCACGCGCCCCCTTTGCACACTCACGCGCGCGGGGTTCGGCCGCGGCCCAGGCCCGCTCTCGCCTCCTGCGGCTGGAGCCCATCGGGGGAGGCCGTGGGGGGGGGGGGCTTGGAGCCGCCCCCCCTAACGCGCGGCTCCGTCTCCCCAGCCCGCTCCAGCCGGCCCGGAAGGAGCCGTGACGCGCCGGCTGCTCCCGATGCAGTGCGTGGTAGGTGCCCCGGCGGGGGCGGGGGATGGGGCCGCGAACCCAGGCGTCCGGGGGGGGGGAACCCCACTGCGCGTAGAGAACCCCGCCCCCGGAGACAGCGGGTCCCTCTGCACCCCCGCCCGGTTATTGTTAACAAGGGGAGGGGGGGGCAGCCCGGACTCCTGGGTTCTCGCCTGAGCCTTCCTCTCTCTGGGCCTCAGTTTCTCTGTCGGTAAAATGGGGACACTGACTTTCACCTGCCCTGGGATTTGGGGCGACCCTGAATAACCCCCGTCACCTTCTCCCCCAGGAGCTGCCCCCCCCGCGCCCCCTCCCCCAGGCTCCCCTCTGGGCCATGCGGCAGCGCAGTTGGGCCCCCCCAAGGGAGGGTGGGGGGAGATCAGGCTCCTGTGCTTCCCTGGTGCCTTCGGGGGGGGGCACTTCCCCACCTCATTAATCTCAGCTGGGGGGGCTCCGTCTGTGGCTCTGCCCCCCAGGGATTCGATCCCTCCCCTCTTGTGGGATTCGAGACCCTCTTGCTGGGGAAGTATGGGGCTTCTCCCTGAGAGCCCAGACCTGGGGAGCCCCCGACCCCATCCTGTCCCCCATCACGGCAGGACTGGCTGGGGATGAGGTTTCCTGGGGGGGTTCCCCCTCATGTGAAAAATGCGTGTTAGTGGAACTGTGGGACCCCAGGACTGGGACAGCAGGGGCTACAGGTCAGGAGTGAGGGGCACCGGCAGAGCTGGCGGGGGTGAGAGCAGGGGGCTGTGAGCCGGGAGTGAGGGGCACCGGCAGGGCTGTGGGGGCAGGGCCGGGCTGGCAGGGGCTGCGGGTCGGGAGTGAGGGGCACCGGCAGGGCTGGGGGGGGGGAGGGCGGGGGTGGCAGGGGCTGCGGGTCGGGAGTGAGGGGCACCGGCAGAGCTGGGGGGAGCCCCGCTGTCCCTGCTGACGTCGTGCGCATGTCACTGGGGGCGGCTGGGGGTGGCGGGGGGGGGGGGGGGAGCCCAGGCGTTTGTTCATTTGTCTCGGGCTGAGCAAACCCATTGGATCCGTGTCCACCCCCCTCCCCAGGCTGGGGGAAGTTCCCAGCCCATCCCCCGGGCTGTTCACGCCTGGGGGGCGATGGAGGGGCCCACGTGGTGGGGGTGTCACGTCTGTTCCTGCCTGGCGCTGGGCGCGGATGGGGGGGGCTCCGCAGCTGGAATGGGCCCTTCCCTGGCGAGGGGTCAGGGCTGGGGGTGCAATGGGGCTGACACGGGCTCATGCTGGGGAGCAGGTCACAA